TGTGGTAATCCTCAACAAAGAAGATTAGTCCAGTGAATGGTGAAAGCATTTCAGACCTGGTAAGAGACAGGTTGCAACAGGAGAGTTAGCAACTCCCTGGAGAGGGAGAATTAGTAATTCTGAAGCAGATACAGGTTGCAATGCAAGTTGGTGGTCTGTGGCAGCAGTCCTGAGTCAGTAAGTGAGCAGACAATTGAGTAAAGCAGGAAATTCCAGGTGTGTCAGGGGAAACAATAAAATGGCAGAGTGTTCCAGGCTGGACTAAATTGAGCACTGCCAACATAGCATGTGGATAGCACAAAGTTCAGCATCAGAAATGGAATTAGACAGCCATGAAAGAACTTTGAATCTGATTTTAAGACCCAGGGACATTGCAAAGCTAGTCATTAAAGCCATATGTGGGCATGATTAAAGACTGAGCAGACCCAGTCTAACAGAGACAGGAAGTTTGGGAGACATTTTTCAGATGCAGATAAAGCAGGAGATGTTTCATAGGAGCTTCAATAAAGTCAAAAATAATTTATTTAATCTGTAAAGAGTGGCAGTGTAAAACAGTATATAAGGTGGGAATCATAATGAAGTCAAGCACAGGGGAGTTCATACAGTGAACCTGCAAGAAAAGCAAGTCTGTCATTTTAGCCACAAAAAGCAGCTATCCTCCATTTCACAAGGAGTTTGGACTTCTCCATTTCAGGTGCAAAATGTTAGAAAATGCTCCAAGGCCCAAGCAGAAGAACTGCATTTATGTGAAATACAAGTTTTTTTCTGAGCAACCAAAATATTTAATGATGTCAGAAAGACATGACATCAGCAATAATATTGCCAGGAAGAATTAATTCCACAGCAGGGCCAAACAGATTGAAAATGTGGAAATCTTCCAAATAGCTTCCAAGTCAGATGCTAAATCCAAAACAGAACAAGTAAATCTACTTCTATACACGGCTGAGTGCATAATTGGTGATATTATATATCACTGAGGAGTAAGAGAAGCAACAGACACATTTCAAGAGGTATTGAAAGCTTTCGACAATTAGTTCAATCTCAGAACTGGTAAAATTCTTGAAAAAGCAAGATTTAATAGAAGCGTTTCATTGAGAAATGTGACTATGGTGGCTGTAAACCTCAGAATTCATAAGGGACAGAACTGCTGGAGGCTGATGTGTGTTTATCAAATGTATAACAGCCCAAAGAAGATCTGATTCCAGAAAAAGCCATTTAGAGAATTAAGCTTCAAGAGATCTCGAGAACTTGGACAGTCTTTTATAACAGGCAAACAACCAGAGAAAGGATCATTCCAAAATCAGAAGCCTCTATTCAAGTACAAGAAATTGCTAACTGAAAATGCTACTAATATATTCAATTTTGGAGTGCATCTCTTTAAATATTGAGTAATTACAAATGAAACACTGTGAGAGTGTGGTACAAAACCCGAAAACATTATTCATTTCAAACAGCATAAAAAAGTAAGCGTTTTCAGCTCCAGCACAAACTACAAGATTACACAAGTCTTTCCTTTAAGATCTATTTGATTTACCATAAGATGTCCGAGTGTAAGTAGGCTATTTGATTCCTTGGGTCTGCTCTGACATTCAATGAGATCATGGCAGATCTGATCATCTTCAACTTCACTTCCCTGCCCTTTCTTCATAATCCTTGGTCCCCGTAACAATTTGAAGTCAGTCTGTGACAGCCTTGAATATAGTGAACAATCAAACCTCAACAATTGTTTCTGGTTAAAAAAAAATTCCACAGATTCACCACCCTGTGAGAGAAATTCCTCCTCTTCTCTGTATTAAATGTTTGACCTCTAACTGTGAGATTCTGCCCTCTGGTCCAGTCTCACAAGAGGAAATGATCTCTCCGTATCAACCTTGTCAAACCTCTTATATAATACCAATAAGGACTCTTCTCATTCTCTTAAGCTCCAATGAGTACAAGGCCATCCACTCAACTTCTCTTCATGTGAAAATCCCTCCATAACCAGGATGAACTGAGTGAACCTCCTCGAAGCTGCCTCGAATGCCACTTTGTCTTTCCTTAGATAATGGATTAAAACTGTTCATAGAATTCCAGGTGTGCTCTCACCAGTGCCTTGTATAGTCTTGCAAGACTTCCCTATTTTGCATGACATTTCCTTTGAAACAAAGGTCAGCACTCCATTTCCCTTCCCTATGACTTGCTGAACTTGGATGCCACCTATTTGCGATTCATGCCCTACAATCCCCCAAATCCTTCTATACTGCAGCTTTCTGCAGTCGTTCCCAAGATAAATAATATTCAGCTCTTCTATTCTTCCCACCAAAGGGTAGCACCTCACATTTTCCAACACTATATTCCATCTGCCATGACTTTGGCCTCTCATTTAACCTGTCTATATTCCCTCCTTGAGTCTTCCTCATTACTACTCATCGATTGTTGTGTCATCTGCAAACTTAATGATAGCACATCCAGTTCCATCATCCAAGATAATAACATATATTGTAAAGAATTACGGCCCCAACACTGATCCCTGTGGCAGTCCATTACTCACGGGTTGCTCAACTCCCTATCATTGCTATTGCCTCCCGTTCCAATTATTCCTCAAACTAGTTATTTATCCCATTGAATGGTCTTTCTGAGTAATTTATTCTACAAATCAATTGCTTTTCTTGTGAAATGAAGTTGCACATGACAGTAGTTCTAACTTATCAATGATTTTACCTAGTATTTCAATCCTGGTGAACAAACTGATCTACTGATTTTGAAATTTCTCCACGGGCAACAGGAGTGTGAAGTCTGACAGACATCTGAATTTCAGCAGAAGCTTGATGTTTTGTCACCTCTGAAGACTTTGCGGGGCTACATTTTTTTTGATACACACGAGACACAATAGACCCATCAGTGGTTCATCAAGAAATACAGGCGGAGGTTGGAATGAGAATTTCCATTCTACCATGTCTGTGACTTGGGGATGTTCCAGCATTATATAATTTTACTAACACCCTGCCACATGTTCCAGGCTCTTGTATTACGAAGTTTTTATCAGTTGCTTTAAAAAATGCTGAATCCTCACAGAAATGTGATCCTCAGAGTTTGCAACATAACAGAAATCAAACAATAATCATCAGCATTTACTGCAGCATGGACTGCAAGAGCTGTTGTTTTCTAATATGTTTCAGCAATCTGCATAAATAATAAATGTAGGAGAAAGTAGCATCAATGTGAGATGTTTATGGCCTTGTTATGACATCAATCTCAGTAAATAATCACCAAAAGCAGAATATTTATATTGGACATGGTGTCACTTATTCCGAAGCTGTTTCCACAGCCCCATATGCAGTTCCATTGTGAGTGAATGAATACTCACTTCCCCATAAAATGAGGTCTTACCCATTCTTCTGCATTTGAATAAAAGTATAAATTACATTTTAGAGGTGACAAGATCACTTTCTCCCCACTTGTAAATGTGGTGCAAATTGTGACATCACATGGCCATGCTGCTTTCCCATTGGGATTGTCTCCAACAATTTACATTTTTCATGCTAAATTGTGAGGGTAAATGCAGAGACACTGTCCATCTCTATGATGCCAATATCAAACGGGGGTTAATTCATTACACATTTGATTCATTCCTCAGGATAATGTTTTATTTTGGCACCAAAAGCTGAACTAGAACTCAAACTTGCCTAGTCCCTATGAGTGGGATTGAATGAGTTTATTACAGAAGCATTATTGCTATTCAGTGATACTGCAATTCTACTGTTGCAATTTTCATGTACAGTTATTTGAATTTTGTTACAAACACATGGAAGATAACAGATAACGTTGTAACTGTATAAGCTGTTACATAGATAAATGATACAGAGTTGTTCTTAATTGATGAAGATTAAACATTAGAATATAGAATTATAAAAAAGTAGTCCATACAAACATTAAAAATGATAACACATTTTCTGATACTTGGGTAAAGTATCCAGGGTTATACTGATACAAACAGAGGATCTGCATTATAATCCATTCTCACGTATTTGCTTCTAAGACTCATTATCATGAATGCATGCAACCGCATGTTTCTAACAAAACAAATGCTTTACTACAACAAATTGGTTGGAAATATTGCGTCCCTTTATCAAATAAAGTGCAACTGTTCCACTGCCATGAATTATTAACAGCTTTATATTAAGAGAAGACATAATTATTGCCGTGGAGTTACAGTACATTAGACTTAATGATAATGATTTGTGAAAGCAAATGTATTATCGCACATTTGAATACAAATACTCCGTTTGGTACCACTTTAATGCCAAACAGTTCACCAATAAAAAAAAAGCAAGTATAATATGCATGTCCTCAATATATAGTCAATTAAAGGGTGTTTATAGGGGAATATAGGACTTGTTTCCTTTACTGTGTATTCTGATTTTGCAATAGGAATGTAGCGTATCACAATGAGTAATCAATGAAGTGTATCATATCAAATTGACAGATAGGTAATAATATTATTTCCCTTGTTTAATATAGATAACATCTTCACTTGTTTTGTCACAATGATGAAACCAAATCTTTTGAACCCTGGTTCATAGATTGACTTTAATAAATAGGTAACTCAGGCAGGTGTTTACAACAAATTATTGCAGTGCAAGATTCTTTATCAAGTCTTTCGCGCCTCCTCCAGCAATGTAAATTCATATTTGAATATGAAGTTTAGAAGCACGTGGATCATTTACTGCAGTCTAATGAGGCGCTTGGATGGAGTTAAATAAATTTCACGATGCGCTTCAACAGCAAAAAAAAGTTCAGAATAAATATGCTGGAAATGCTAACGAAATAGCACGTTTCAGTTTCTCTGCAAAGTCATCTCTTGTTCAGCTTCTCAAAAGGGTAAATTGATAATACTCCTTCACAGCCAGTGAAACATGTTTACGGCGCATGAAACTGTAAGTAAGGAGCAGGGCGGGACGCGATTTCGAACAGTTTGTGTTGTAAATTCTCAGCGCACAGCCCCCCCATGTGATTCCTGGCGTAGAACACGATTGGAAAGTGTGGGGTGGGGGGAGACATGCGCACAGTCTGTGTGCCTGGGAGATGGGCTGAGCTCTTAGAGCACCACTCAGTGCTCCCCCTCTCTCTCTGCTCACTTACACTCTGGCAGCTTGCTGTATCGCTGCCTCTCCCGTTACACGGAAGGTCCCTGGAGCTGATCTGTGATCCTCACACACATACAGCCCCCTCGGAGTTCCTGTTTCCGCCGAATACTGCCTGACGCGATCAAATACCAGTGAATCCACCGTCTAATGTGCATATTCACATACACAGAAAACATCCTTCAACCAAACGGGGAAAGGAAGCGATCTCAAGCAGCTGAGCGGAGCCCGGAACCTCCCTGACCCGGAGTGGCAGGTCTGTACCCTGTGTCTGTGTGTGTATCGCTGCTTTACTCCTCTGTGCGGGCAGGGACGAGCAGTGTATACCAAGCTGGAGCTCTCTGTAGCCGGCCCTGCTGCTGCTTGTTGTTGATGCTGCTCCTCCCAGGAAATAGCGGTCGGCGGCTTTAGACATCATTACTATCCACCCCCATCTGCTTTACCGTTAACTCCAGCAGGGGCCCGGGCTCCTCAATGTTGGCATAACACTCGGTGGGAAAGGGGAAAAGGCAATGGGACTTAACAGTGCGCTGAGCTGGAAGGGTTTGCTGTTTGAAGAAGGCCCTTTTTTTAAAAAAAATGTTTGCTGATTATACAATGAATCAGGTTATTCATTCCAGGCAGATGGGGTAAACATGAGTTATTTTGCCTTTTATCTGTGATTTCTCTCAAGTATTTCAAAGTCGATAAGGTATTTTTTGAGGGGGGAATTCATTTTGGGGAAACAAGTCTTTTTTTTAAAACAGATAGAAAATTCTGTGTAGTTTTAATCTCTAAAGAGCATGTTTACATCTCGGAAGGAGAGGTTTTGTTCTGTACATCACATGGGAATGGCTGCTAAGTTACCCTGGGTGGGTTTTTTTGTGAAGGCGGGTTCACGTTTGAAATTGGTGACTGTTTTTGTGTGAACTAACGGGATTAGAGATATACCACAAGGGGAGGCTTTTGTGCTGTGCCGCCTCCTCCGTTGAAGCTCTGTAAGGTACAGTATCTGACCAGGGCGCGTGTGGATCTCCAAGCTGAAATAGACAACACTTGAGCGGAAAATAACCTCTTCTGACTTGAGAAGCGACGTGTGATGGGTTCTGGATTAAACCCAAAGGAACAGCGACTTTTGGCGGGGACTAATATTAATTTTAATTAGTAGGAGAAGTTTGAAATGCATTCAACTCGTGACCAGATGTATCAGAGTGCAATTTAGTTCCCAGATCCTGTGGTCAGAGTGGACGCTTGTTAACTGAGGAGTTGAACGGGAGGTTAGCGCCTTCGGGGGAAGAAGGTGATATTCATAGGCCCCCGGCGGCAGTCTCCATGTAATGAATGGCGCAAAGAGGAAATTGACTTGTCTGTTCTCTCGGAGCAGGCGGAATGGGTGTATGCAAAACTTGGAGTGAACCTAGAAGTGCTGGCGAAGCTTGGGTTAAAACAGGAAAGGAGCTGTTCGGATGTGGTATCACCCATCTCCGGGACAAGTGGGACTTGAACCCAAGCTGGACCTTCCAGCCTGGGACATTACCAATGCGCCCCAATATCCTGTAAATAGGTTTTATGCAATGGCCATCATTTAGTATTACTCAGCAGTCGGTACGGTTAAGATGAACACTGTGAATGTACGAGCGATTGTAGAATGAAATACATCAGCTAACTAAAACTCAGTTAGAAGTGACCAAACAGCCATGAACAAGTGCTGTGACTGGTGTAGGATTAGCTTCTGACCCAGTTTAAGAGCTAAGGTTCACTTTAAGAGCAACTTCATCTCATGCTCGTTCTCACTGAAGTATTGGAACCTTTCAAGATTCTTGTTTGCACGTGTGATGTTTTGTTTTGTTTTTGTGTCAAACTGAGTATTGGAGAAACAGTGAATCATATATAATAATATGTATTCTTGGTTTAAACCAGGAAAGTAAGTCCGTCATGATAAATTGCTGAAAGAAAATTTAATCAGATATTAAGAACATAGATTTAAACAGCACAGAAGCAGGCCGGTCAGCCCATTGTGCTGGTGATCTTTGAAAGCACTATGCGATTCTTTTCCGTCCTGTGCTGTTTCCCAAAGCCCTGCAAGGTTTGTTTATTTCTCAAGTGTTTGTGCTGTTCTTTTGTTGAAAGTTTCCATTGTGCCTGCTTCCACCATCCTCTTAGGCACTGCATTGCAGTTGATGGATGATGACAGCGACCTAATGATCAGGGAAGTTGAAGTAAAAGCATTACGGCTGTTCAAAATAGTGTGAGTTGAATGGCCTTTCTTGTGTACATAGTGCTGTCTGAGAATTATGTGCATAACTAATTACTTTTTTTAAAAAATGTGTTGCAAAAATGACGGTTCACCTGAATGCCATATTGTAAGTGCATGAAATGTTATTTGTTGAATGGAGTAGAGATTGTTTTGATCTCCTGTGAGAAAATCTTAGACATTACATGTCCTTTGGTCTGATCTTTTTGCTGAAATCTGTGCCTCAAATTTATGTGATGCTGTCTTAGTAAGCAAAGTAATGCATTAATAGATCGGAGATGAAAGTAAAATCTGACCAGGTTTCAGGCTGAGAGACTGTGTGTTTAAAATAAGTGTGTTAGCACTTAAATCGTATTTTACAGGTACTTGATGGCTTAGCATGGTGGTTGTAACCAGGGGACCAATGTGTTTTGTCTGTGTATTTAACTTAGTTGGTGTCAAAGAGAGTGATTTCTAACCTAGTTACCAATGCGAAATTATACTGATGGGTTCAGGCAAAATTTGAGGACAACTATGAAGGGATATTACAAAGTACAGATCACAATGTGCCAAATGTACAATTTATTTCAGGTTTTACATTATTCAGTCACTTGCTCTAGATATCAAACCTGTCAGCCAAGTGTTCTGGTGGGAGGACGGATATTGAAGGAAAGCACGTCTCTATTTTTTTTTGTTGGCTTTTAAACTGTGATTAAAAATCTGTTCTTTTAAGGCACGTTTTTGCTGTGGGTTGCCTTCAGTCCATGTCTAAGCATTATGATAACTGAGAGTAACATCCTAGCACTTGCTGGCAGGCAGTAGATGTTGGATACAGTCATAGCAATGTACGGCACGGAAAAAGACTCTTTGGTTGAACTCGTCCATGCCGACCAAATATCCTAAATTAAGTTAGCCTGAGCTGCTGATGGTACCAGTAGGTAGAAGGTCAGATCTGGTAAAAGATTTCCGTGTGATATGCTGTTCTTGTTTCCTATTAGGCAGTAATCCCACTACATATAGTGAAATATATTTGTTGGAATACAACTTTGAGCGCTGAAAACAGTGAGTGAGTTAATTGGTTTAACAGTTATCAGGCAAGTGCCATCATCAGCCCTCTGGCTTTCCAACACACATGGCATCCCTGAATTCAGATAAGCCGTACAAATGCTGTGGGTACAAGACAAGGTCAGAAGCTGGGCATTCTACAGCAAGTAACTCTCCTCCTGAAGTCCCAGGTCTGTCTGCCATCCACAAGGCACAAACTATGACTATGATGGAATACTTTGCTGAGTGCAGCCCTAACGACACGAAAAGTCTTGAAGCCATTTAGGACTAAACAGCCTGCTTGACAGATGGAGTGACTGTCCCCTCAGTTCACTCCCTTTATCACCAGCACACAATGGCAGCGATGTTTACCATCTACAAAATGCCCTGCAGCAACTCCCCAGGGCTCTATTGACAGCACCTTCCAAACTTGCAACTGCTGCAAGAAAATAAGTCAAGGGCAACAGATGCATAGGGACAGCTCGACCTACAAGTGCCTCTCCAAGTGATAAGCAATTTGATTGAGAAACAGAACCGGGTACTGTCGATGAGGTTGTGGAAGCTGGCTGCAAGTTTTTGTGATGTTGCCAAGGGATGGCACGTTAATGATGAAGAAAAGACCAAAGCTGAATCTTCATAACAGCGAGGTTGGGAAGAGAAACCCATGCTCGAGACACTGCAGCTTATGATTAGATGCAGTGGAACTGAGTGAGGGTTTTGGCAGAGAGTTACTGGAGGTGTGAGACTGTGCATAAAATTCAAGGAGGAAAAATGTACCACAAATGCTGACTAGGCCTGGATGTTTGTATTTTTGTTTAGCATGGTGAGAACAGCCTGTCTGACTCAGAGACCGAAACCAGGAGGTCATGCGGGTGAGCTTCAGGCTTTACAATAACACTACTCCAGGCACCTTTTTACCTGAAACTGGCAACTTTACTGGGGTGAGTTGATGGGGCTTGAGTCTTCTAAGGGAAGTACAAGAGTTAGCCTAAAACCTTAAAACATAAAGGTGTTTACAAAATACATTAAAAGCATATTCTCACATTCATATATGTTTATTCATAACATGTAAACTTTTTTTTTAATATACTGAATGTTACTTTGCTGCTGTATTCCTGTTTATTCATGGGCATGTTAATTTTTAAGTGTCAAATGGTGTTAGGTTGAAAATAATTTGGGAAGCATTGCTTTAGGTCAAAAGGAACTGGACAACAAATGAGATACATTGTCTTTATGATTGGAGGGGCAGTTTTCCTAGTTTTGTCATAATGTACAAGAAGCACGATCAACAGGTTTTGTTTTAGCGCCATGTTTACATGACAAAGATTAGGAAAATGTCCAGACTTTATACAACTTCACACCTTCATTGTGCCTCGCAGCGTGGAATTGAAAGTGACGATTTTTTGATTTCAGTCATTCATGTACTTGTTTGTATCATACAAGGCTTTGATTTTGTGACATGCAATAGGGTTAGGATTAATAATATATTTGTAATCATGGGATGGAACGTAATAGGAAGTGATGTAATATCACATGATAGTAGGAACTGCAGATGCTGGAAAATCTGAGAACAAAGTGTAGA